GCCAACTCTTGTAGTGCCTATCTCACTGAAACACCCAATTATGGGACGGACATTCCTTGAGGCCTTCTTTTTCGAACTGGTGCAGAACCAAGAGAAAGTTCAACGATTTTTTAAACATACAGCCAAAGGTGATACTGAAGAAGTTGCATCTGCTAAAGTCGAAATGGTTACGGCGGATAAATTTATTAATTTTTGTAACCAGCCACCAGGGAGTGGGAAAGAACAAGCTCAGGTATCTTCTATGAGTAATGATCTGGAGCCAATTGACGCTTCCACACTCAGTTTAGAGGGTGAACTAGATACCCCAAAAATAACGAGCCTCAGCCTTCCACATAATCTCACCCCAGATCAAAGACAAAAGTTGGACGCCGTTCTCAGACTTTTTAATCCAACTCCTGAGTCTGGTCCTTTAACCCATTTGCGGCCGCTACCAGAAATCGCAGTATTTCTGTAATTTCCTTTCAAGGGCGTGGGGTTAGAACCTTCATCAAGAAAAATTATAAATTTCATCCAAATCCGACCAACCGATTTCTAGATATAGACTGGTCGAAAAATCGACCGCTGGCCATAAACCGTCAAGTAGGTAAAATACATATATGTTTTGTTTTAATTATTTGTATAATAAATTTAAAACTTAAACTCAAACTTTATGCTTTTATTTGAAGAAAATGCATTAATTGTTATAATATACCCATAAACTGATACATATATTCTTATGAAAATTTAAAACTTTTGATGATATTCATCGAAACATTTAGTATGTAAATAAACGTTACACTTTTTGCAAGTAAAAATAGTATGTTTCTTGCATAACTTACAGCGCACATAGGGGCATTTAGCCGATTTATGCGGCCATAATTATTTTTATGAATATTTCAACTCGAAATGTTTAGAAAATACGTATTTTGATATATAGAATTGTAAATGTTTAAAATGCAGTAAATATAGGTTAAAAAATTAACAGAGTTGCCACCTGTTAAAAAATTTAGTTCAATTAGTTAAATGAATTGCTGCAATATGGATATCAATGGAAATGGGTTGGAAAAGGCTTTATCTCTAAGCAACCTTCCAGGGTTTAAAAAATCAAATTCAACTTTAATTTAAGGAACTAATTAGTTTATTTAAATATGTATCACAGTATTGGTAAGAAATGGGTGTATTCGAGGTGCAATTAAAGCGGCAGTTTTACTTTTTATGAAAGAGTATCACGTTCTACGCGAAGATTTGGGCGACTCTGCCTACATCAACGTTCGAGGAACAAAATTTAGACAATCTGTTACTTATAATTGGAAAATCAAAAGCAACGTAAAAATTTTTACTGCGCAATTTCCGCAGCATTTTAGAAAACTTTCAGTTGAGCATCAGCAACATGTAATCAGGAAAGAAACAAGTCTGCAATATTGCGGTAATTATTCCATAGCTCGAAAGCACCCAATGTAATAAAACTAGATTTTTGTAATAATAAATTATTTATTTTTAAAAGAATTTTGTAAGTATTAACTTGGAGTAAATTAGCGTCCTGCATTACTGAAATATCGGAGTTTTCGTATATTCAACGCATTGCTTTTCCATGCCAAGTTTATTAAGTGCACCGAGTTTGGCACAAATTGATAAATCGGTTACCGAGATATACATTTGTGGTCAAAAGTGCGCGGGCATGGCGCCGCCAAAAAATTATAATAATTTTATTTAATGCTAAGAGGTTATTCCAAGAATCGATTTTGAGTGAATTAGCTTCAGTAGTTATTGATTTATCGCAGTTTTCGCGTTTCTGTAAATTACCGTTATATGGGAAGTGGGCGTGGTTATCGCCCGATTTTAAGAATTTTTAGCAATTATGTTAGATATAGCCTAAGCAAGGCTCATACCGAGTTTGGTACGGATTAGTGAAGCGGATACTGAGATACAGCATTTCATCATAAGTGGGTGGGGCCACTCCCATTTCCTAAAAATTTAATAATAATCCAATTTTGTTCCAAAATTTTACCCCTCATACCAATTTTCAATAATTTGGATACAATATTTACTGAAATATCGTAGATTTATCTAAATTGACATTTATCTAAATTTAAAAGCTTGTATACCCCAAAAACTATTTATTTAATCATCACTTATATAACATGTAAAGGAAGACAAATGTTTATTCCGAAATATATAACATAGGTAGGGTCGTCTTACATTCCCGCAGATTTCTAGCAACAGGACCGTAAAGTCCTATAAAACATGACTTTTGCTAATATCTCGAAAACTATTTATTTTTTAAATTAAATGGATTCATATTCTACCTCAGCGTCCTCAAATTCATCTAAAAAGTTTAATTTTAGTGTTAAAATAGATCTAAAGAAGTGTTACTATATACTAGTTACGTTTTTAGATTTTTCCTTAATACATTTTCTGATTAAAGAAATACCACTTATCTGCCATTTTCTGCGGGCAATCTTTTCACACTATATTAGCGAAATTCCTAAGCTTTCAATTGAACAAAGAATAATAACGCGATCTCTCCCGGGGATACAACTAATTCCTTAATATTCACAAAAAGTAACAAAAAAATACTTGTTTGAAACTCGCTATTTTCGTTACATTTAAATAGAACTTTTGCTTAATAAAATTATTAAAAAATATTTACGCTTAAATACATTATTACCTTCTGTATGCGGATCGATCACTACTTTTTAAGAATACAATGCAGAAATGAAAATATTAACTTAAACCGTCACGATCTTTCAAGAGAGCGAAAATGTATTTATAAGCAGCGTTAGAATATTCTTTTTCCGGTCAACGTTGAGCGTTAGCTGCGCATGTTAGAAAAGTGAGGAGGACTGGGAAATGTTATTTGGAATGTTCTCTATCGAATGTGACTAATTTTTTAAGTTTCGTTCAAAATTTTGTCAAATTGGTTTTTGGCCGCCTAAATCGTTCAAATACCCCTATGTGCAGCGTCGATATTTATTTTCAAGACTTCTCATGACGGCGTGTATACTTTCATTGATCCGCGGAAGATTTGACGGATGTTCTGGGTCTCCATCTTCATCGTGATTTCCATCGTCGTCCTTCTTGTCGTACGTTAACAATTGATTTGTGACTTCAGAACGAAAATCAATTTGCGAAAGAGGCTTTGTTTTTTGGATTTTTGCTACTATACAATGCACCTTCCATGCGTTTACCATTGCGTTACCAAGTGCGTTAGTCCATATTGGCCACCACCATTTTTTTCCTCGTATACATATCCGATAGTGGGCCACAGCGTTATCATGAAGATCCACCCCACCCATGCCATAATTCTATTCCTGAATTACTTTCGGCTGTGAAATTATTATGGTTTTCTTTTGCTTGCGGCAATACCTTTTAGCAGATACCATTGGTTCGACTGTGGAATTATTAGTAATAACATTAACAACGCCATTATCGTTCCACCGAACTGCCAGTATTTCTTGTCGACCATCAAACAATTGATCGAATTCCCCGCGTGTTTCCTTTTTTAGATTTCTCAAAGGAGCCTTTGCCATTCTATTTTCTCGTACAGTACCAGTAGCAAAAAATCGATGCTAATTCAATAGGCACATCAGATGATAAGAAGAAAAAAAATTGTCAAAGAAAATAGTGTGGCAATCGGGGTCAGATACGTTTGCAAGCAAATCCAAAACAGTTTGTGCTCCTAGACCAATGTTCTTATCGTGAGGAGTCGCTGCTCCACCATATAATATACTAGAAAATAAATATCCACTTTCTGAACATAAACACCATGCCTTAAATCCAAAACGAATCGGCTTTGCTTTGATAAACATTTTGCAAGAGTGTCGTTCAAAGTAAGGAATCTGTTCATCTACAGAAAGAATATAGCTGAAAACTCCGAACTGCATAAATTTCTTATTTAAAGCATCAATAACTGGACGAACTTTAGCAAAGCGATCTTCTGTATTCAAATCGGTATTATCCGCGAGATGTAGAAAGCGTTTAATTATTTTGAAGCGATTACGACTCATTGCTTGTTTCACAATTTGTATGCCCATGTCTGGTCGAACAGACCAATAGTGATCAATATGTGGCAAGGTATGATACCCAGAAATGTACAAAATACCAATAAACCTACGTATTTCTACTGTTGTGACGTTGATGGCTGCGTTATGTTGATTTGCGTACTCATTGGTGAAATTCGTAATTTCTGTATGTACAGATATGTACATATATACTGTGTATAGGTATGTATATGTAGAAGAGGTTCTTTATAAGAAATAGTGAATTAATCGCTTACCAATTTCTGCGTAAATTTCTTCCAATTTATTAGCTTCGTTGTTTACAGGTGCTCTGCTATATTGAAAATTTCTGGGTTTTCGCCATATGGGGATATAAAAATCTGACTTCCTCTTAACTCCGCCAGAGTTCGTTTGTCTTCCATTTGCACTAGATGTTGATGGCTTTTCAACTCCACTCTGTTTCAGCTCCACTGTATCCTCGACGTTATCTCCTTCCACTGAATATTGCAACTCGATATTACCAGCGATTTCACTTAAGTAAAGATCGTTTTTGTCATTTAAATTGATCTGGTCATCGTCCAAATCTTCCTCATCGGTGACAAAATCCACATTAGGAGGAGGAATGTACACGACGTCGACGTCTTTTGCATTCGCGACACCTTGATCATTCTCTTCATCAGAAGATGGCTCATTTAGAATTTCCATGATTTCACACATTTTTACTGATTTACGAATTCGCATTTTTAAGCCAAAATTATTGAATAACTTTCAAAAGCGTTTACCATGCAATCTGAAGAACCTTCTCTTACAAATTGCAAAATAAAACTAAATATATTGGGGGAAATCCCTTTTTAAAATCATATGCAAACGTGGACACTACCACAAACAATCGTTTGCTTAAAGTGAGAATATGTTGGTGTGCTTATTTAATTTCGCTCTTTGAGCGTGTGCTCATTCTCTGCTCATGCCTGATCATATGTAACGATTCATAGAGTGAGGCAAATATATCGTACAAGAGAAGAGTTGCCAGAATTAAAATAAAAAAGTAGTATATTGGAAAATATTTTAGGACTGATCATTACATATTTCATATAATTAAGACACACGCGTATTTTTTCACTGAACATAAATTATAATTGTGGTAAAAATAATGTTAGTCTACTTGACGTGTTCTGGCCAGTGGTCGATTAATCGACCACTTAGAAGTATGTGCCTCTGAAATACAGAAAATTCAAAAAAATTAGACTGATTCCTTTCGATTTGAATAAATTACACTTTTATTTTCATAGCTAGTTAATTGTTGCTTTTTTAGTTTCCCATTCTTTGGTTGTTTTCAGTTTACAAAAAAACATAAAAAAAAAATATTTTTTACTTTTTACTAAATTCTTAATAAAACATTTTGTTCAAAAATAGCTATCCTTCCAACATCAAATAAATACTAGATTTAATTATTCTGTAAACAGATAAAACATATGTCAATTAAATTTAGAGATGTAAGCTTGGAAAGTTGTTGGTCGTAAAATCGACCTGCAGCCGAATATGGGTTAAACGTCACTAATCAGATCGAACACGTAATTGATACGGGTGATGCAAAACCCGTCATGAAACGCCAGTATCCAGTATCGCCATATGTGGCTGAACAAGTTCAAGCCGAATTGGATAAAATACGTAGTCGTGACATCATTATGACCATCGAAGGAAGCCCTTGGCGGTCACCAATTCTGGCTGTAAAGAAGAAAGACGGAACGTGTTGCGTGTGCTTGGACGCGAGAGAGCTGAATAAAATTACCATTCCAAATGCCTATCCAATTACGGACACTAACCAAATTTTAGCACGACTAAAGTCAGCTAAATACCTAACCAGTATTGATCTGTATCAAGCTTTCTTTCAAATTCCTTAGGCAGATTTCATGTAGGCTTTACGTGATTTCCTGCCAACGGCTTTAACCACGGTGCCCGCATTTGGCACAACGGATTAATTTTTGCATTAATCACTGCCCTGAACTGCAAGCACTTCAGTACCAATTGGCAGTATGTGGTGGACACACTTACCACCTTGGTAGGGCCGAGGCCTACCTAAACCTCTGACGATCTGTGGATCACGACATCCGGTTGCAATGCAACTCCACATTGAACCATTGCTGGTTCTACCCGCATTTAGGTATTAAACCACAGCCACCACGATACTCCCCAAAGGGGCCGTACCCATGAACAGACCGGAGTAATGCTCGCCGGCGAGATTTGCTGGACTGGCTCAACTCACCCTGACCCATTTAACTGACTCAGCTCACACTAGAACGACTTACACGACTACTTCACTCCACATTCATACTCCGTCTTGCTCGTCTCACAAGTCTAATCGCCTCGCTCGTGGGCACCCTCCACATCCAGGAGCGGTGACACCACTTGCTCAACTTTCGACCGATCGAGTTGCTCGACACACATTCACCATCTTGCTCCGTCTTGCTCATCTCACACGTCCTACTCGCCTCGCTCGTGGGCACCCTCCACATCCAGGAGCGGTGACACGGCTCAGCTTTCGCAACGGATCGAATTGCTCAACTTGCGCACAACTTTTTCACCATTTCCAGCGGTTTCCACCTCACTTTTGCTCCAATTACAACTGTTTNATTGTTGCTTTTTTAGTTTCCCATTCTTTGGTTGTTTTCAGTTTACAAAAAAACATAAAAAAAAAATATTTTTTACTTTTTACTAAATTCTTCATAAAACATTTTGTTCAAAAATAGCTATCCTTCCAACATCAAATAAATACTAGATTTAATTATTCTGTAAACAGATAAAACATATGTCAATTAAATTTAGAAATATAAGCTTGGAAATTTGTTGGTCGAAAAATCGACCAGCAGCCGAATATGGGTTAAAACGTTTCTATTTCTTGTAATTTTCGCGAAGAATGCGTACACATGAATAAATACGANGAGAGCTGAATAAAATTACCATTCCAAATGCCTATCCAATTACGGACACTAACCAAATTTTAGCACGACTAAAGTCAGCTAAATACCTAACCAGTATTGATCTGTATCAAGCTTTCTTTCAAATTCCTTAGGCAGATTTCATGTAGGCTTTACGTGATTTCCTGCCAACGGCTTTAACCACGGTGCCCGCATTTGGCACAACGGATTAATTTTTGCATTAATCACTGCCCTGAACTGCAAGCACTTCAGTACCAATTGGCAGTATGTGGTGGACACACTTACCACCTTGGTAGGGCCGAGGCCTACCTAAACCTCTGACGTTCTCTGGATCACGACATCCGGTTGCAATGCAACTCCACATTGAACCATTGCTGGTTCTACCCGCATTTAGGTATTAAACCACAGCCACCACGATACTCCCCAAAGGGGCCGTACCCATGAACAGACCGGAGTAATGCTCGCCGGCGAGATTTGCTGGACTGGCTCAACTCACCCTGACCCACTTAACTGACTCAGCTCACACTAGAACGACTTACACGACTACTTCACTCCACATTCATACTCCGTCTTGCTCGTCTCACAAGTCTAATCGCCTCGCTCGTGGGCACCCTCCACATCCAGGAGCGGTGACACCACTTGCTCAACTTTCGACCGATCGAGTTGCTCGACACACATTCACCATCTTGCTCCGTCTTGCTCATCTCACACGTCCTACTCGCCTCGCTCGTGGGCACCCTCCACATCCAGGAGCGGTGACACGGCTCAGCTTTCGCAACGGATCGAATTGCTCAACTTGCGCACAACTTTTTCACCATTTCCAGCGGTTTCCACCACACTTTTCCTCCAATTACAACTGTTTTCTCCATTATCTCCATTTTCACCATTTTCTCCATTTTCTAGTCGTGTAAGCCATGCCAGTGTTTGCCTTGCCTGCCTTGCAAGCCTTGTTTGTGTCACCAGTTTTGCTCGTCTCGCCGACGAAAACACTCCGGGGGCATCTGTTCCCCGTGGCACCATTTTTAAAGTCTTTGGTATGACTCTCGAAAGCCGTAGACTTCTTCCAGTTGAACCTCCACCGACTCAGGACTGGTAGCCTTTAACTGGGGTAGACGGGGTTGTCAAGCCCGTACCCTGGAAATACCAAAGCCCCCTGTCTTCCCTCCTGTTTTCTCAAACCGGGCTTGGGACCGTCTAAGGCACAGTTATTCCTTAGGCAGAATCGAGTCAACTGAAAACCGCTTTTGTATTCGGTAACAGACTTTATGCTTTTCGTCGCATGACGATGGGGTTGAGAAATTCACCCGCCACATTAGCCATTCTCATTGATAAAATTTTCCGTGATTTAGTTCCACATGCATTCGCATATGTCGATGATTTCATAATTTGCACTTCGACGTTTGAAGAACACGTTAAGATATTGGCTATTGTTGCAAAACGTCTGGCGGGGCCGGCTTAACCATCTCAACATCCAAATCGAATTTTTGTTGTAAACGATTGGAATTCCTGGGCTACGTTTTGTCTCAAGAGGGTTTATCTGCGAATCTATCTCGTATTCGAGCGATTGTTGAATTTGCACGGCCCAAAATGGCAAAAGAAGTCATACGGTTCGTTGGTGCAGCAGGCTGGTACCGTAAGTTTATTCCAAATTTTTCGGAGATCACAGCTTTCCTTTGTGAATTGTATAAAGGAAACCGAAAAGGACCCACTGAATGGAATACCGCTGCTGAACAAGCCTTTCTCAAACTCAAAGAGTGTTTAACTACCACTCCCGTTCTGACTATGGCCGATTATTCAAAACCATTCAAGGTTTATACCGATGCCTCGCTTATCGCAGCGGGAGCTGTTCTAGTACAAGAACATGATGGGAATGAACGTGTGGTTCAGTATTTTTCTAAGAAATTCCCGAAAGCCGGACAAAATTACACAGCATCCGAACGGGAATGCCTAGCCGTTCTCTTAGCGATCGAAAAGTTCCGTCCATATTTTGAAGGTCGTGAATTGGTTGTGGTAACGGACCATGCAGCTTTGCGCTGGCTACAAACTCTCAAAGAACCAACTGGC